ACACTTTAACATATATAATTAAGATTCATTTTAAGGATTCTCAGTTAATTTAAATCTCTTCATCAAGATGATCTTAAGATTTCATGACCTGAATTTGTACATTAGTATGGTAACCTGTAAGAAGAAATCTGTTATTAATACAAGCACCAAGTAAGATCGACAACTCCGAGTTACATTTGAACCATGCTACCTTTCATCAATCTAAAAAGGTAAGATAAAGAGGTCTCAAATTTAAAGGTAGTTGAAAATTAGTCTACTTAAGTTGTAGAAATAACAAGTTATCTGGCACTATTCGTGCTTTGGCTTCTCATTTTTATAGCAAAAGGGTTTTAGAGGGTAAAACATCCAAACGCATTTTTTTAAATTAAGTGCATGAAAGCCCAAACAGAAAAAACTTGAAATATGATCATGAAGTAATGAATTCAGGGACAATGTATTCCTGAAGTTTAACTCATTAACTTTATATATACACTTATGTGCTGCTGAATATGGAGAAACATAGAAATACCTGCCTTGGGTTTCTAAATTCTTTACTTTTATTTGCTATGTTACTATGCAATATATTTTAAATGGTACAAACAGATCCATCTCCTTTTACTGAATGGACTGTCCCATAATCTTGAGAAAAGATTGTATTTAGAGGGCACGTTAAGAATATTATGAACTGTATTTAGTATGCACTAAAATTTGAATGCAATTCCTGAGCAAGACACCATTCATTTACTGTGCTAAGTACCCTTTAATGACTTAAACAAATACCACAGCATAAATTTACTGCTATTTGCTGAAAAAGTGAATTTTAAGAGACTAACAGAATCACTAATATTACGTACCTGACATGAACACTACAGAATTTTGAACGTTTCCTTTTATTCCAGGTTTAACAGACCAGCCACTGGAACCAAGAAACAGTACCCGGGTACAACCCTTTTAAAAAAGAAACAAAGAAGTTTGTTTAAAAGATCAAAAGCTATCTAAGAAATTCCACCTACGCTTCTGCCATAGGACTATCTAAATGTATATTTCTTTAAACATAACTTTTTAGTGATTGCATATTAAAGTTCTCATCTAAAGTATAAAACAAGCACATGGAGAGTAACATCATGGTACAAAATTAGAAATAATAAATGTAAATAAATTCTTTGAAGAACCTTAAATGTTCATGCTCTTCAAAAGACAGCTAGGCCCCGAGACACTTCTTGTAATTAGTGTGTACGTTGGTTATTCAGTTTTTGATGCCATGTTTAAAATCTACAATATGCCTAGGTGAACTTGTTTTTATTTAAACTTAGAATACAGAATACAAATGATTTACAAAATTCAGTATATTTTTTCACTTAGGAAAAAGGGTAAATGAAATAGGAAGTTTTCGAAGTAAAGTGATGAGCTTTTTCACCAAATTTCAGTCAAGATTGTTAAAGATGAATTCACCTTTTAAGCTATTAGAACAAAATTAATTTGACAGAATGCCTAAACACACTTTACATTAAATTTTAAAACGGGGCATTTTTTGCATCTTATACCTACATTAAGACATACCATTTAAAATCCAAATAATTTTGTAGCGCACCCCATTCAATTTAATAAGACTTGCAAAACAAAGGTCACTTTTACCTTTTCTAGTAAAGCACAGCAGTAGACAATTAAACATAAACCCCCAAGAATGAGAAAGTAACTGAAAGTGGTAATGATACTGTGTAAAACTTAGAACAACCCATTCTTACCTAAAAAAAATTGTCTGTACAATCCTCCTGGAAGCCAGTCAGCCATCAAGTAGGTAAACATTTATGGAGTTCTATCTTAAAAAAAAAAAGAAAAAAAAAACACAAATGTTAGTGTTTTGCTCTAAAAAAGGTTGTAAAAATTACTTGTAAAAATATAAAAAGAACAGCAATTTTTAAGAGAGTACTGAGTTAATATTAAATCAAGACAGTATTCGCCATATACGTTATTATAATCTCTGTGGCAACAAAAATATTGGTGTTTTTACATCTGAAGAGACAGACTGATGATGGGGTGGGATTATGAAACATCACATGCACAGTCCATATTTTTTGCATGAGAAGAGGTAAATTGACTGTCCCTCTCCCATTATTTTTACCACTACCAGACCATTAACCATAAAGATGAAATCAAAACTGTAACATATATTTCATAAAGCAAAAGCAAGTAGTATTTTTATAGTTTCCCTCAATACTCTCCTTTACTCCATAAAATACAAAAGCCCTTACAAGCTTTACAAAATTTAGCAATACAAAGTTAAATAAAATCCCCACTATCAACAAACTATGATGTTAAAATGGCTGTCGTCATCTTCTGTGAATTTTTAGCCACAAGTTATTTGATCTCTCCAAGTGAGATATCAGCTTTTCCCTTTAGAGTACAGTTTTTAAAACTTGCAGCATCTTTGACCTTTAATCAGTCCCCAAGCATTGCTCTTTAACACTACAAACACCACCAAGTTTGCCTTTCCTCAAAAGGCTTAACTTAACTGGTTGGCAGTTATTCATCCCCAATATTCCCCAGCCTAGTAAAAGCTTCACAGATAATTCTATGAAGAGTCAGTATTTTAAAGTCATACATATTACACACTGAGGACTCCTACGAGTAAATTCAATTCTCAGTACCTGCTAATATAAATGGAATGCAAATCCTTTAAAGTTTAAAAAAAACGGTTTAGCAATTTTGTTTTCAAAACCAATTTAACTATTGAAGCTGAAACAGCATTTGAAGGAAAAACCACTGAAGCTTTTTTTTTTAAAAAAAAGTCATTGTGCTAAAAATACAGCAGACTTTCACCTAGAACTTTCTTTTCAGCAAACTGTCATACCCTAATACTGCAGAGATGTAACTGTAGTTATAAAACCATTACAATTCAAACCTAAAATGAAGATACACAAATTTGCGTGCAAGATTAACACAATCATGTTTTTAAACATAAATATTTCTAAAAATATCCAAGTTTCATTTTCATAATACCCAATTCACATTTACAAGGAATATCATGAAACTGTAGATTTACCTTTCAACTGTTGTATTTGAGAAAGAGCACAAAGACTTTAAAATATTCTTCTGACTCAACACTAGATAAATTACAATAAATATGGCTACATACCATCTCCAATTAATACAAGAGTAGCTACTTTATTTACCTTGTAATATTCTACAGTAACTTTTTATAGATTTGGTATTTGAACATTATCTTAAAACATGTGAGTAATCATTAAATATGTGAGCAAATATGAAGCAAACACTAAATATTCCATTTAAACTTTTCCTTTTAAATGAGTGTGATAACTAGTATTGAACACAAGCTCTAAATTATAAAAACAGTTACACTTGAACAATGATCAAAATGCTATGCAAATAACCGCAGCCTGAGTAGCAGAAAAATGCATAAATTAAATACCAAATACAAAATGACACTTTAGCAAAGGTGTTTTAGTAACTACATATTTCAGTGTCATTTGCAATTAGTTACTTTCACATATTATTCATTTTAAGAAACCAATTTTCCTTCTGCAGAGCAGTCTAATTCACGACTGTAATTTTTTTTAAACTTTAAACTGTAGAGTTGGCATAAACAAGGCTGTTTTAGAAGATTTCTAAGTTTATATAATGCCAGTTTAACCACAACACTACACTGCACTTAAATCTCAGACTTCTGTTTAAAGCTCTGTCTCCAAACTATTTTTTAGATAAATTAAAAATTTAATTGATCGTTTCAATAAAGTACTGAAGCTCTCTCTTCTGCAGCCTGCTTTCGCTCACGGGTGCAGAAAGAGTTAAAAGCCAACACCCCACCAAAAAAAACAAGTTTTATTTTTAAGAAACAGACATGGCGTCTTTGTTCTTACAAACTAGGGAGAGTAGATCCCCTTTTCAGCAGCAAGGGGCAATAAATGTTCTTTAAAGAACTATTTTTGGACCTTAGGACTTGGGGCTAAACATATAGTAAAGTCTACAGCCCCACTCCTCGTTAGTGTTGCACTGGAGTTAGTAACTGGTCTGCAAATGCCCCCTTGCCATGGTGCACCGGAGACGGACTGGGGTGCGCCCCCTCTCCAGTAGTCCTGCACTAGGGCCCAGGGACTGGTTTGCAGCCCCCCCCCTTAGTACTCCATGTGGGGACTAGGAGCCAGGGCCCCCTTAATGCTGCACGGGAGGAGAGCTCTGCATGCCGAGTCTTTAGGGAGCTCGCAGAGCCATGGGCTCCCTCCGGCTCTGCAGCACCCCGCGGCCCCCCAGCGCGAGAGACGCCCCCCTCACCGAAAAGGGGTTGCAGCGTTGGAGGGTGCTCGCTCCAGGCTCTCCTAGCCCAGGGCGGAGGGGAAGGGGGGGGCAGGAATCTCCCCTCCCCCTCCCGGCTCCAAGGACATTTTGTTTTTCCTCTCAAGGACAAAGAACAATGCGGCGCAGAGACGGAACCACTCACCAGCAATGCGGAGACCGGCGGCGGCCCGGAGCGTCGGGCGCCGTTTCCCCTCCTCACGCTGCCTGCGGCGGCGTAGGGCTCGCCGCCCGCCCGCCGAGCTCGAGGCGCCGACAGAGATTCGCAGCTCGGCGCCATCGCCCTCCGCCCGCCCGCAGCCCCGCACGGAGCGCTCGGCTCGCCGCTCTCCGTCTCCCCGGAACCCCTGAGTGCCGGGCCCGAAGTGGCCCGCGAGGCCGGTGCCCAGGTGCCTCCCCGACTCCGGCGACCCGAGCGGCGGCCGAACCACCTGAGAGCCTGGTTGCGGCTGCCTCCCCGGCCATCTTGTGCGGTGTGTGTGAGAGAGAGTCTGTCTCTCCTGTCTTCTCTCAACTCCTTCCTCCCCTCCCCCCGCACAACATGGCCGCCCGAGTCAGTACTCACTGCGGCGGGGAAGGGGCTGGGCCTGCGCTTCTACCCCCTGCCTACCGCTCATTCCCCCCCCTTCCTGCCTTCTGCGCGTGCGCCAACCACTGCTCTCCGCCGGCCCCGATGCTCCCGCCCCTCCGGGCCCGGCGCGCGCCGCTACCATTGGCTGCGCTCCTCCCTCCTTCCTCCTCCCATCCTGGGCCCGCGCGCAACTCAGCCGCCGCTTGCTTATTGGCCGCCGCTTCTCACTGGTCTTTCCACCCTACCCGCCCCACCGCAACCTCAACGGTCGCAGCACAGTGTGGTGAGCGCGAGCCGCGTCTGCCGCTCCCTATTGGCTCCGCTCCTTCTCTCGCTCCTCCTCCCGTCACCCACGGCCTCGCGCGAGTCCTGTGCCCCTCTCCGGAGCCCTACACAGGCTCTGCTTGGGGGAAGGGTGGGACGCATGTGAGCAATTGCGGTGCTGCTACATCCTGGGAAATTCCCCAGAATCTGGGGAACTTCGGAGTCAAATGTGTCAGCTTGGGAAATTGGGAATTTTCCTTCACAACCTAAACAATGCCGGGAAAGGTTTCAGAGTAGCCGCCCTGTTAGTCTGTATTCGCAAAAAGAAAAGGAGGACTTGTGGCACCTTGAAAATTTCACAAAAAGTAAAAGACTTCCCAAGTCTCAAAAATCCTGGGACGCTTTCTTAAAAAGTAGTAAGTAAAATATTTGTGCTTCTTTTAAATTTCCCTCAAAATGTGTTCAATTCGATTGGCGAATATTTGTCACGTGATTTTCAGAAGCGGGCTATGCTGCTCTCCTATTGGTGCTTCAGCGTGCTGTATCATGACGGCACAAGTGAAGTGACAAGCCTGCACACATGCACTCACAACAAACCAACCTCAGCAACAGCTGGCTGGCGGGTAATGAGGGGATGGTTATCAAATGTATCTTCTAGGTAAGGTTCCTTCCAATAATTAAATATATTGCAATACTTACTGATTATGATTAGTTTCTTGATCTGTCATTAAATCTCTAAAATTTTGTATTTCGTGCTTGCAGTTGCACAGAGAATGTGGACCAGAGCGTTGGGCTGTTCCTAAATTTGTAACAGCACCTTCCTCCAGGCAAATATTAAATATCTTTGCCTACTGTGTTAGGTAATAATATATAATATGTTCCTTTCTTTGATTTAAATATAAATTGAAATATACATTATACTAATTATGGCATTCCATTATTTCAGATATCTCTTTCCATTTTTTATCTAGGTAAAAAATGAATAAAGAGACCTGTAAGGCTGGTGAGAAGATGAAGAGGACTGCAGGAGTAGACAAAGATCCGTCCACATCAAAATGAAAATAACGGGATAGCACCGCCAACAGAGTATTGAAGACTCGGGGTGAACTTCCACCAAAAGAGAAGCCATCTACTTTCAAAAAAGCCTTTCAAGACTCGTGGCTTCAAGAAGGTAAATACAAAGACTGCTGCAGAAAGCAGAAAACAATCGTTTTTTAGCTTATTACAAATGTTGTGATGTAAAAATCAAGGCAGGTACTAGTGAGTTAGATAAGAACGCTAATGGTAAAAAACATAAAAGGTTGAGACAGTATCTAATAAGAAGAAAATTAATGATATGTTTAATAAACAAGATTGTGAAATTAAAAAAGCACAAAAATTTGAAAAGCATGTTAAAAATGCAGAGATTAGAATGGCCTGTTACTTTGCTGCACACAATGTCAGTATTCAATCTGAAGAAGGCTTCACTGAAGTAGTTATTTCCCTGATTCCAAAATTGCTGAGGCTGTAACAATAAAGAAAGATAAATGTACTGCTATAATTAGCAACGTTTTGGCACAAACTGAGACTGAGGAACTTGTAGAAAAATTGAAAATTAATGAATTTAGTGTATTTGTGGATGAATCTCCTTCAGGGAATAAATATGACAACCATAACACTCAATTCTAGTGTAGTTATAAGGTCAGCTTTGAAAGCAAAGCAAGAGAAATGTTCTAATTTTGTAATTACTATTAAGCACTTGTATTTACATTGTAAAAATATGTACAGTAAAAATGACAGTGATAAAACTAGTAAAAATATTAATGATGGTAATAATGTTCCTAGTGACGACTCAGACTATGAGTCAGCAAATGGATAAAACTCAGAGATTATAATAATAAGGAAAATTATATAAAAGAGTGTTATTTGTTCTTTCTGTTTGCTTTTTTATAATCATATGTTTACTTTCAAAGTAACTTTAATGTACAGTACACTGCAGGGCACATGCTGTACTTATTAATACTTTTGTTTTTTAAAAAGTGAAATTTGTGTAAAATACATTGTTTTTTATTATTTCAATCCTACTCCTCATGTGTTAAATATTTTATTTACTGTATAAGTAACATAAGTTTAAAATTGAAAAACATGTCTATATGTGTAAAAATTATAATGTGAAATATCTCGAATGAATAAGAATAAGTTGGATATAATATATATTATATAGTTATTTAAAACACACATATTACGTTCCTTTGAGATTTTGAAATAAAAAACTTTATCTGGGAATTTTTCACCAGTTTTGGGAAATTTTTAGTGCTAAGTTGGGAAAAGTTGGCATTATGATATAGAAGTTGTGACTGGTCGGCCTGTGGAGTCCTCTGGACACAGGGTTCAATGTTACCGGCTAAAAAACACCTCCGGACCCGCTCCTACCTCGGTCATCGCCCCCAACCCTGGTCCGCGCCACAAAACCACCTCAATCCCTGACCCAGTCCAGACAGTGCCACCAAAACCACCTCCCAGCACAACCCAGCCTTTTCCCCCAACCCTGGCCAGTGCCACCGAAACCACCTCAAGCCCCAACCTGGGCATCCCCCCCTTACCCTGGCCAGTCCCACCAAAATCACCTCACACCCCAGGCATTGCCCCCTACCTTGGCCAGTGCCATTGGAACCACCTCAGGCATCACCCTCTACCCCAGCCAGTGTCACCAAAACCAGCTCGTGCCCCACCCCAGGCATCACTCCATACCCTGGCCAGTGCCATCAGATCTACCTCATGCCCCAGCCTAGGCATTGCCTCCTACTCCAGCCAGTGCCACTGAAACCATCTCATGGCCCAGCCCAGCCCAAGCATTGCCCGCAACCACAGCCACTACTACTGAAATCATCTCACGCCCCAGCCTGGGTACCCTGGCCAGTGACACCAAAACATCCTTGTGCTCCCTACCCTGGCCAGTGCCAGTGAAACTGCCTTGTGCCCCACCCCAGGCACCACCCTCTACAGCCCCCCAGTGCCACTGGAATCACCTCACATGCCAGGCATCGTCCCCTACCCTGACCAGTGTCACCAAAACTACCTCACGTGCCAGCCCAGTCCAGGCATTGCCCCTTACCCTAGCCAGTGCCACTGAAACCACCTCACACCCCGGCCCAGACATTGCCCTGTACCCCAGCCAGTGCCACTGAAAAACCACCTTGTGCCAGACAGCACCCCTTACCCCAACCAGTGCCACTGAATCCATATCGCAGCCTGAGCCAGGCTTCATCTATCCTGGCCAGTGTCACCAAAACCACCTCATGTGACAGCCCAGGCATTGCCTCCTACCCTGGCCAGTGCCACTAAAACCGCCTCCTGCCCTGCCTCAGGCATCACCTCCTACCCCAACCAGTACCACCGGAACCACCTCATGCCCCAGGCATTGCCCCCTACCCTGACCAGTGCCACCCAAACCATCTCACTCATGCACCAGCCCAGCCTGGGGATTGCCGCCTCCCCAGCCAGTGCCACCAAAACCACCTTGTTTCCCAGCTCTGCTTGGGCATCACCCCTTACCCTGGCCAGTGCCATGGAAACCACCTCACACTCCAACCCAGCCTGGCCATTACCCCCTACCCTCACCAGTGCCACCAAAACCATCTTGTGCCCTTGCCTGCCCTGGGTATCACTCCCGCTCTCCCAGAATTTGGTCCATGGATATTCTAACTATTTTGCATGTGAGTAGCTTTGTCCCTTATCTTGTACGGGTGCCCTCAGTGTTGTGAACTTTATTCTTTCATTTCTTATTTATTCCTAAATCACCTCCAAAGACTTTACAAGTGAAAGAAAATTAACAAAAAAAAATTAAAAGAGCTTCTTTGCTCCTCACCTCAAAAAATGTCTACACTAATTTATATTTCCATCCTTATTGCAAACTATTACCATTTCCCTAATGTAAGCACAGTATTGACAGTTGCAAGTGTTCAAAAATTATAAATCCAGGCCCTCAGTATCATTACATTGTTTTAAAAATCATGAAATTAAAAAGCACCCAGGATTTTTTTTATTTCCCCTCTTATTTTTGACCCTTTGAGGGTACACATGCATTATATTTTCAAGTTACTGTGTGAGAGCTGGAAACGTACTTTTTTAATGAAAGCTGAGATTGTCATGTATGCATGTGACTCCAGGAGCTGAGGTTTTAAGAAAACCATAAAATATCACAAGAATTTGGATAAAATCATGAATTGACAACATGGAAAACGGTAAGGGCCAGATCCTCAACCTGTGTAAACGGTTAGTGAAATGTCCCATTTCACATATACTCAGCACCTTCATTTTGAAGTACAATTGGACAAGATGGCTGTCTATTGTTTACTCCCAATTCTGATATCAGCTCTTTATGTCTAAAAAGTGGTAGGTGGGACTCTCCCTTTCATCTGGAAAGCTTGAAGCTTGCTACATGTGACCAAAAACTGAACTACGGAGAGCATGAACAGGGAGTGATACACGCTATAACTTTTAACTTACAGTGGATGGCAAGAATGGGACCTAAATTCCACTGAAACTTCCTTAAAGTATGTGACACTTCTCTTTCTGAGTTAATTTTTAAAATCAATTATTGAAAAAATACAGTTGGTGTTTTATACGTTGTTTTAGATTTAAACTGAAAAGCAGAAACCCTAAAATTTAGTGAGGAAAGAACAATTATTTATGTATTTAATTATTAGTTTCTTCTCTGTGCCAGCCCTGGTGCAGGTTACAGCATCTTGGGGGCTGCTCTAACTTGCATTAGCTGCATACAATCTCTGTTTCATGTATTGCATGCTGGGTAATAACATAAGAGAACTCCATGTTTCGAAAACTACACTGGGTCTTTATTAAGTGAACTATTTACAGACCACCTGCAAGTGTAGTCAGCATTCAAGTCATGCAAACATACTGACTTCCTGGTACCCTTTCCAAATTCTCCCTCCTGCAACTGGTGCTCTTTCCTCCAAGCTCCATGCAGATTGTTACATCTTTCCTTTTAATTTTTTGTTATTGTGTCTTTTGTGCCAGTGTTTGCTGACTTGCTGGGGACAGAGGTTACTAACACATAGCCGACCCTAGGGACATGGCCTTTACTGCCAGGCCATCATGCCGCAGAATTTCAGTGGCATTATAGAGACAGTCCACTATGTCAATGTGGGCAACCACAAACCATGACACATATTGTTGAGGACTGCAAAATGACTCAACTTACTGGAGGTCTTTGTGCCTTGAACATCGTTGATAAGAACGCTGTGGCTTGTCTTGACCGAATTGCATACACCAAATAAATAAGGGCTCATAGTCCTTCAAGTATGCTGGTCTTTGAACCAGTCTCCAATTTCTTGTTTGTGTTATCTCTGGGTGGGAGGATGGGGAGGAGAGTTACTTCCAGCCTGTGGCTGCCTTCATTCTGCTGGTCCTCTGTATTGCTCATAATCCTTGTTTCTTCCGATTCCTACATTAGGCCAGCTGATACTTGAAGCTCTTTCTAAGTCCTCCTGGTCTTGGCCTTGCGCCATGTGTCTGAGAATACTGACTGTCGGTCACTACTACACAAATTTCTTCAGTTTTGTCTCCACCACTGTCCTGGGTCTGTAGCTACCTCATGTGATCTGTATCCCACTGATGCTTGGACAATTGCCTTTTACCACTGCTTTGTGTGGCTATGTGCTGGTTGGACTCTGGCCTGCTCACTTGGCTCATTTGTTGTAGCGAGCCACCTGCTTAGCTTGGCATTTTCTTAATAGCTTCTGTGTAATGTCCAGCAGCTCTCCACTGGGTTACAACAGTCTATCCCATAATGGGAAGCAGAGTTTTGGTTCTCTGGCGCATCACTCCCAATGCTGGACTACTATCTAGTGCCTGGGACGATATGTTGTGATGGTCCAACATCACGGTAGGGATCTCTTCCTGTCTATTTTGCCTTTGTCATAAGTCTCTTGTCTGTCTTTACTGTTGACTCTACTTTCCTGTTGGACCCCTTCACATCCTTTGGTCTGGGCATTTCCTTAACAATGCTCAGATTTTCAGGTTCCTGTCAGAGTCTCTCAGAAGTCACCAGATGTCCAGTGTAGGGGATATGTAAATGAGTGGCCTCATCCTGGACACACTCCCCATGTGGCCTTGGGGCAGTCCTGCAAGTGGCCCCTCACCTTGGTTTCCTTTTTGGGTCCCCAGTAATTCCATATGAGTTTATCCTCCAGTCCATCATAGTTTATTAACAATATAGTACAAATATAGTGCAAAAGTCCATAACCAAAAGCCCCAAAACATAGTCCCTATCACCCCCAGTGTGTGTGGTCTTTAAAACCCATTCTTGTATGTGGCATTCACTACTTCATTGCCAGTGTTTGACCCTAATACAGATCTTTTTAACACATTGGCTGCTGTTCATCCAGTAGGTTGACTCAAAAGAACAACTGAATTTGCCTCCCTGGGTGGTATATCTACGTGACCAAATTGAAGTGCCCACATGTGCCTCTTGCTCTGTGGAGGGCTATCAGTATGTATGCAGGTGTCATGTGTTTGAGGGGATCCCTCCTATATGTGTGCCCAGGAGGAGAAGTACAACTGCAGAATAGGTCAAAAGGACCAGCTGCTTCTATCTCATCGATTCCAGTGCAGTTATCAAAGTGGAAAATTCCGTGAAAAGAGTAACCTATAATATGAATGGACAATATTGTGCAGCAACTAATTAAACAAGTTATAACTGCTGGGGAAACTAGATGTGCAGTCACCACTCCAAACTTCATTTTAAACTTGTATTAAAACATTATGATTTGGCAGACAGTTATCACTCCAGTTTCCATTTTTGGAACATTGCCGTAATGAACAGTCATTGAGACTATGGCTGTGTACCCGATAAGTTACATAAAGATGGAGTATGGAGGATCCAATAAAGTTTCCTATTTTTCAGGTTCATCAAGCCCCTGAAAGTGTATAAACTAAATCAGGAGCTACTCTTTGATGTGTTCCACCAAATTTCCCTTCCATCTTTGTTTCTAATGGCCTCCACAATGTAACATTGTAAGTACGCAAAATGGAAGGTTGTAAATATAACAATGCAGAAAACCACTTTATTCTACTTATTTTATCCTTATACTTATGTATCCGCCAGTTGTCTGTATTAACTAAAGCTCATATGTGTGTGTTCCACCAATTTTATCTTTTTAATTAACTCTAAATAGCTGCCTGAAAAAGAACGTATCTGTGACAAGTGCATAATTGTACCCCAAAACATCATCAATTATGTTAATTGATCAGGCTATACCAGC